AAAAATTCATTGACAAAGCCCAAAATTCACCAGCAGCTACAAGATAAAGGATAAAGTCTCATGTAGAAATGAAATGTGAAAAAAAATGTGGCCAACAAATGAAAAAGAATATTCTGGTGTAGTAAGGTATGTCTCCTCACCCTGCCCCTATTCCTCAAAGAAGAATGAGAGGAAGAAAGGGTGTGGTGGGGATACACCACATTCATTAATTGGTGAAGAATTCTGAGGATGTAGATAAATAACTCTGAGGAGGGTGGAGAAATGGAGGAATCCAAGAAAATTGTTTTATTTTTCTTTAAATGCTTTGAGTGGGGTGAAGGGGCAGAGAGAGGGGGAGAGAGAGAATACCAAGCAGGCTCTGTGCTGTTGTTGGGCAAGGAACCCAACCTGGGGCTTGATCTCACCAACCCGTGAGATCATGACCTGAGCCCAAATCAACAGACACTTGACAAACTGAGCCACCCAGGGGCCCCCAAGAAATTTGTTTTAGAAAGAATCCTCCATATACTAACATGGGACCTCAGTAGAGACAATAAGCTTTCCATTTTCCAGGTAACAAAGCTGAGGAAAAGAACTGATACAAGGAGAGTAATACACCTCTGGCTGGTTAGACTGGGCTGAGAAAGGCCATTTAACTGAATCTCACAAGAGAGTAGAGCTAATACAGGCATCACTTGGCCCTAAGTTCCCTCTTTTCTTCCCCTTATCCTGCATCCTCATGTTAGAGAAAATTAGTTGGAAAACAAGTCCAAAGTCCTAAGCAGGAGGAAGAAAAAATGGCATATACCAGAGCAAAGTGAAAATCTGAATGGTCTGTCCATGCTAAGCATGAACTGGATGAACTATATGACATGACCACCCTTCAAGCATGGTAAAAGGATCTAGTTCAGATGAAAACAACTGTTAAGGAAAAATCAGAGCTGGACAGTAGTTAAAGTGATTAAAAACAGATTTTATTCATAAAAACTATTCAGGGGAAAGGAGACCTCAGTACAAAACTAGGCTCAATTCTGGGGCGCCTGGGTGGTTCAATCAGTTAAGCATCCAATTTTGGCTCAGGTTGTGACCTCAGGGTTTGTGAGTTCGAGCCCCACATCGGGTTCTCTGCTGTTCTGCACAGAGCCTGCTTCAGATCCTCTGTTCCCTCCTCTCTCTGCCCCTCCCTTGCTCACGTTTCCTCTCTCTTTCAAAGGAAATAAACTAAAAAAACAAAACAAAACAAAACAAAAAAAAAACACACCTAGGTTCAATTCTGAAGACAGCAAGGAAAAGTGGGAATTTATAATCAAAGAGCAGAGTGGGGATGAGATGGATGTCAGTGGATGAAAAATTACTAAGATGAAACATCAAGGATAAGGGGAGATTCTGGCTAAAGCGGCCTAACAAGATTCTTGCTGAAGATGCGCCAAAGTCATCAAACATCATCTGGGAATAGTAGGAGATGAAGAATTTGGTAACACATTGAAGATGTTTAGATACTGAGTTTGGGGGATTCCGGCTAACCTGATGCAAAGGTGGGCAAAATTCCAAAAGACGGAAAAAAGTCCAAAACTCAAGGTTAGTTGGGAAGGGGATTCAGAGGAATCTGACTAAAGTTTGGTCAAGAAGAGACTGTCACAACTCAGAGAAGAGAAGCATATTCTTTGAAGCTTATTTCTTTATTTTAGCACTCTCTACACCAAACATGAGGCTTGATCCCACGACCCTGGGATCATGACCTGAGCTGAAATCAAGAGTCAGACACTCAGCTGAGCCACCCAGAGCCACCCAGGTGCTCTGAAGCATATTCTTTATGAAGGTTTTCTTCTATAGACTCAGTAAGAAATAATATTTAAAAAAATAAGAAATCCAAGATGAAATATTAAAACAACAGAATAATTGAGGGGTACCTGGCTGGCTCAGTGGGCAGAACATATAATTCTTGATCTTGGGGTTTGGGGTTCAAGCCCCACAATGTAGAGATTACTTAAAAATAAAGTAAAAAAAAACAGCAGAATAATTGAGAATCAAAGTAATATAAATAAATTTGAACAGCAAGGAACAAAATAGACTTGGCTGAAAATCAGGTTAATGGCAGAGAGGAAAAGACTTGGGACAATCACAATGAATGAAGAGGGAAAAGCCACAGAAATTTAAGAATTAAAAAAAAAAAGATGTAGTCAAATATGATCCAAAATTGGGCTAACTGGCATCCCAGAGGAAGAGAACCCAACAAATTCAAAGGTAATAAGAATTATTGTTCAGAAAACTACCCATCTTATACCAGGGAAAATTGATTTAGAAAAATTAACATAGAGATATATTCTAAGTTCTTAAACTTCAGGGTTAAATGTATAAATCTTTCAGATATCTTGAAGAAAAAGAAAATCATGTATAGGGAAAATTTTGATTCATCTGAGACTTCTCTATAGCAAATATCAGGAAAAAAGACAAAGGAGCAATGACTGTAAAATTCTGAGAGAAAGAAAATGAAAAAAATGTGAGCCCAAAGTAATATTTCTATACAAGTATTTGTTCAAGTATAAATGCAACAGGTAGACAAGAAAGAATGCAGGTAATACCCCAAAAAACAAATAATCCAATTTAAAAATGGGCAGAAGAGAGGAACAGACATTTCTCCAGAGAAGACAAACACATGGCCATCAGACACATGAAGAGATATTCGACATCACTTATCATCAGGGAAATGCAAATCAAAACCACAATGAGATATCACCTCACATCTATCAGAATGACTAAAATAAGCAACATAAGAAACAACAGGTGTTGGCAAGGATGCTGAGACTTTTGAAAAACTCATGCACTGTTGGGAGTGCAGACTGGTATAGTCACTGTGGAATATGGAGGTTCCTCAAAAAATTAAAAATAGAACTACCATATCATCCAGTAATTGCACTACTGGGTATTTACCCAAAGAATACAAAAACACTAATATGAAAGGATACATGCACCTCTATTTTTATCACAGCATTATTTACAATAGCCAAATTATGGAAGCATCTGAAGTGTCCATCAAGGATGAATGGATAAATAAGATGTGGTGTATATTTACAATGGAATATTATTCAGCCATAAAAAAGAATGAATCCTGCCATTTGCAATGACATGGATGAAGCTGGAGAGTATAATGCTAAGTGAAATAGGTCAGCCAGAGAAAGACAAATACCATATAATTTCATTCATATGTGGAATGTGTGGAATTTAAGAAACAAAAGAAATGAGCAAAGGGGGTGGGAAGAGAGAGAGAAACAGAAAGAGAGAGAGAGAGAGAGACCAATCAAGAAACAAACTCTTAATTATAGAGAACAAACTGATGGTTACCAGTAGGGAGGTGGGTGGCGGGATGGGTGAAATAGGTGATGGGGATAAAGAAGGTCACTTGTCATGATGAGCACCAGATGATTTATGTATGGAATTGTTGGATCACTATATATTATACACCTGAAACTCACAAAACACTGTATGTTTAGAAAGAAGAAAAGAAACGAAAAGAGAAAGAAAGAAAGAAAGAAAGAAAGAAAGAAAGAAAGAAAGAGAGAAAGAAAGAAAGGTAATGTGGCCATTAGCCATTCTTAAACTACTTAGCAGAAAAATCCCATGTACCAGGACATGAGTAAAATGTGAATGGTGAATCTGGAGGATAAAAGGACTGGTGGTAAAAGCCCTGAATCCATTTGAATACAGAAGTAAGATTAAATAACTAGAGGAAATCAGTTGCCAGAAGCCATAAATATTATAAACCCTGACAAAATAGAACTAATATGAACCACAAAGATTGGGAGTTAGAGTCACAGTTTGGGAGAAAGTACAGTAATGTTAATTATTTCATTTTGCAGAGCAAGTAGTCAATTGACACTATT